ATATTACCTAACAATTTTGAATAATGATTATACAGGCGCGGATCAAGAATTTTTCCGGGGGGGGGGGAGGAGGAGGGGGTCCATGCCAGTCAAAAAAATTTCTAACCCAAAAATTTCTTGACAAGGAAGGAAAAAAAACGTAAAATCCAATTCTATTTCCAAAACGTGAAAAACACCTATATCGTGGTGGTGATGGTAGGGTCCACGTTTTCTAAGGAGGTCCAAAGTCATTTTTTATTTACTTCAGTACATACTTTTAATAACTCTGCAAATTCCAGATGGGGGTCCTCCCGACTCCCCCCCCCCCCAGATCCGCGCATGTTATATGAATAATTTCGGGTATTGACTGGAGAAATTTCCGGTAATACATTGCATCTCAGGTGAGGAAGAGGGGGAGGGGTGGCGGCAATAATTTCCATCTGCTCCTTGCGTATCAAGTACGTAGAAAATAAACACCATCTGGTGTATTACAGATTTCTTTTTACTTGTCACACAGGGCGTTTACCACATACATTATGTACGTAGTGTTGATGAACCCCTTTCTTATTTTTAAGGTGATTATTTTCCCAATTCATTGTATGAATACAGAAACAAATACTCCCTCTTTTTCATGCTATATGAATCAAAGTCTATAGATACGAATACAGTACAACTAATGATCATTCTAACATAACATTTTTGTGATATACATGGATAATAAATCTGAACATATCTTTTGATCGTATGTGGTGAATATATTCTAGATAAATATACATTGTACTATACCATTATACATTCAGATTCGTCACTGCCTTTGATAAAAGAATCGTCCTACGATTTTCCAAGACCTTGACATAAAATAAGAGGTCCATGGGCCACAACGCTCACCTGAGTCAATAAGGCCCTGCTGTTTTTCATCAGCAAATTTATTCTAACATATCTTCTAATGTAAAACATTAATCCCTATTGTGACTCCACCCTACCCCAGGTGTCATGATTTTTATAGATATAGCGCTAGCCCCACCCTACCCCTCGTGGTCATGATTTAAACAAACTTGAATTTACACTACCTCAAGATACTTCTATATCAATGTGATTAAACATGGCTTTGTTGTTCCTGAAAAAAAGCTTTTGGATTTCTTTCCCTATACATTCACATGCTAAACCCTGACAGTGCATTGTGGCCCATCCTACCCCTAGGGGGTCATGGTTTGATTGATTGATCGATTAGGGTTTAACGCCAAGTCGGCTATATTTCAGCCATATTCCGGCGGAAAATTAATTTTATATGACCGGTTATCATGGTTTAAACAAATTTGAATCTACAATACCTGAGGATGTTTCCATATCAATCTGACTAAAGATGGCTTTGCTGTCCTTGTGGAGAAGATTCTTCGATATATATATCCTATGTAAAACTTTGATCCCCCATTGTGACCCCACCCTACCCCGGGGGTCATGATTTGAACAAACGTACATCTACACTAACTGATGATGCTTCCATATTAATATGACTAATCATAATATTGTTGTTCTTAAGAAGAAGATTTTTGAAGACTTTTTCCTAGATATTCCTATGTAAAACCTAAATCCCCCGTTTTGATCTATCATAACCGGGTCAACCTCATTCCGGACTCCAGCCTAATGGTTCTTATTTTCTGTACCTCAACCACTGAAGTTTGAGGAGGCAGAGTCCCGAATGACATTGGGCCGATCATGCATTTGTTTGTTTAACCCGGGATCTTTGGCTATGCAAGTGAGAGGACGCACCAATTGGAATAACTCTTATAATCTTTGAGCTTGGTCGGAGTGACCCAAGTCACTTTTTATTTTTGCTAAAGGACGCTTGGCTAGTCAAATTCCACCTTCCATAAATGAGGACCTTTCCTGACCAGAGCGGCTCACAGGTGTTGGGGAGTGGAGATGTTACCCAACCTGTATAAAATGCAACCAAGACAGTCACAATTCAGCTTTCCACTGAAATTGTGTCTATCCCGGCCGCCTGTTTTATGCCTGAAGTCGTACATCCCCATATTTGTAAATCCTTCAAAATTTGCAATAACTACTTTTGAATTTTAATTTTAATTTTAATTCCTATTATTCTGTCCTCCAACACTCTTGAATTTCCTAATGCACTTTAAAAATCCTTTCCTATCTTTTGCATAATCTTTAAATATTATTTGTTGTAGCTAATTTATAGCAACAACTGACCTCTGGTCACTTCAATACTATTGGTTGCTGCTTCCTCCTAACCAAATACATCTTTTGATAAACAAGTAAACAACCACCTGCTAATGAATCATTTTCCTGGAACCGTCCAGGTGAAAAGGTTAAACCCTAGTGGCCAGCATCTATGTTTATTTTTATCTTCAGAGCTTCGCATCTGTTATCTCTCTCAGCCGAATAGTGCAAATACACCATCTCTCAGCCGAATAGTGCAAATACACCAAAATATGTTACATTCTTATTTTATTGCAATTTTTGTTATGATAAATTCCCCCTACTATCGAAAATCTTGTCCCCAAGATTTTTTTTTAAAGTGTTTATGATCCGGAATACCCTGTCTTGCTGCGAATTTTACTTAAAGCCGAATGTTGAAAGTAATAATTAATTATGATATTTGCCCCGACTTCACATCTAATTGGAAATTTATTTAAAAACATGCCTTTTCAGATGGCTTTTACAAAGAATATACACAGATACATATTAGTATATAATACAAATACACGCACAATGGTATAGGATTACAAAATACACTTTCTAAAAAGGAATTACAATATTTAAACACACGAAAGATACAAAAAAAAAAAAACAATATGTACAGTTGCCTTGGCTTTTACCTGGGTAGGGTGACAACATTCTTTAGAATAGTACAGTAGTGAAAAAACTCAAAAATCTTGATTCATAAAATCAAATGGTTTGACAATTCCTTAAATACAAGCACTCTTACTGCAGGTCAAGACACTTCTGCTAAATAACCACAAAAATATCATTGTCGATGAAGTAAACCTTTTGCTTTTTCACAATTGAAAAAAAAAATATGCTTCTCACTGTTCCGCGAGGTATACCCTTTTATTCAACAAAAATTTACTACATAAGAAACACAATCCCGTTCAAATGCATATATTCCTACATCTGACGCATAATCTACATTATTTTGTTTACTTTGAAAAATTCTCATATAGTTAAGTCTGTGTCAATTTTGAAAGGAGGAATGATTCTCGCAATATTTTAGCACAGATGGATAAAAACTTCGCTTAGAACTCCCATATATGATATGAAATGAAAGAAAAGATAAGAGTTTGGTATACCAGATAGAAGAAATAAATGAATGATGGTTTAGAAGTCCCAAAACAAAATATTATCCTTCATTTACGATACCCTTCCTTTCAATTAGTTTATTTCAACCAACCCTCGTTTATTCGAGTATGAAATCTTGACTCAACTTTTTTTTAACCTAAATGAATGGTACGGCTTTACCTTTACTATATAAAAAGGCCCTTCCCATTTAGGTTTTAATTTGTTTTCTCCCTAGATTTCGTTTCATAACTTTTAACAACATTTCATCTCTTATTTTGCAAGTACTTTTGCGTTTTTGTCATCAAGCGTCAACAACTTTATATCAGGTACTTTTTAAAATATTGTTCATGTGAAAAAAAATTGTCAACAATGCGACAACATTCTGAGTACCATCGTCTAAGAATCTTTCTAGCATAATAGCGGTAGACATTTTTTTTAAAAAAAAATGCTGTCCTACCTGTACTATTATTATTTTCAAAGTTTTTGGACTAAAATATAAATATATCATGTCCAAGCTCTGTTCCTTACTTGTGTGGCCCAGGAAGTTGTACCACGAACAATTTTGTTACTCGAAAGACGAGTCATTTCTGTTTCTCGGACGCCCCTGCTCCGGCACTGTTCCAACTATTGGATAGTTCGTCTTCCTTGCCACGAGAGTAAGCGACAGTCGTAGGGAACACATGATTAGCACGGGAGTTTTTAACGTGTGTATAACTTGCTGCAATAGACTTGTGGTCGAAATTGGCTTGTCAAGATTTAGTGCTGGTTTTGCCCAGGGTGTATCGGGACTGTTACGAAAAATGGCCTCGTCGCTCGTCTGACGGCTCTGGTCCTCCGTCAAGGGTTCTTGAGGGTTCGTCTGGTCCTCGTCTTGGTGGTGATAGAGTTCTTTGTCCCAATTTCCAGTGGGATTGTCGTCTAATCCACGTCTGGGGGGCGACTTGAAGAACCGTCCAAAGTTCCTGTCTGGAAATGTTCCAGCGACACTGTCACTTAGCTGGTTCCAGGTTCCTGGGAACTTGTCCAAAAATTTTGGATCCGCTGTTTCTGGGGTCCTTGGATGTCTAACGCTAAACTTTTCGTTAACTAAATGTGGCGGTGTAATATCCGCAATATCTGTAGTTTCAAAATTGTCCTCAAAGAATAAATTAGTTTGTAAATCCTGGTCCGTTTGGTTTTCCTCCTCGAGCGTCAATGCGTTGGTAGTTTCTTTTCTTAGAGCTCCAGAGGAAATAACACTTGGCTGATATGTACTTGGGTTAAACAAAATTTCACTGTCATCTAAATCTGGTTGAACAAATGTTTCAGGGGAAAATGATGGCCTAAGTCCAACTATTCGTTGCAAACGCTGTAATGGTGTTTCAGTCTTTGGAACAGGTAAATTTTCCATAAAGAGGATTTCCACCACTTATCATATTGTCAAATTTATTTAAAAACCGGATTCTCCCCATTTATCATGACCGGGTCAACCTCATTCCGGGTTCCAGCCTAATGGTTCTTATTTTCTGTACCTCAACCACTGAAGTTTGAGGAGGCAGAGTCCCGAATGACATTGGGCCGATCATGCATTTGTTTGTTTAACCCGGGATCTTTGGCTATGCAAGTGAGAGGACGCACCAATTGGAATAACTCTTATAATCTTTGAGCTTGGTCGGAGTGACCCAAGTCACTTTTTATTTTTGCTAAAGGACGCTTGGCTAGTCAAATTCCACCTTCCATAAATGAGGACCTTTCCTGACCAGAGCGGCTCACAGGTGTTGGGGAGTGGAGATGTTACCCAACCTGTATAAAATGCAACCAAGACAGTCACAATTCAGCTTTCCACTGAAATTGTGTCTATCCCGACCGCCTGTTTTATGCCTGAAGTCGTACATCCCCATATTTGTAAATCCTTCAAAATTTGCAATAACTACTTTTGAATTTTAATTTTAATTTTAATTCCTATTATTCTGTCCTCCAACACTCTTTAATTTCCTAATGCACTTTAAAAATCCTTTCCTATCTTTTGCATAATCTTTAAATATTATTTGTTGTAGCTAATTTATAGCAACAACTGACCTCTGGTCACTTCAATACTATTGGTTGCTGCTTCCTCCTAACCAAATACATCGTTTGATAAACAAGTAAACAACCACCTGCTAATGAATCATTTTCCTGGAACCGTCCAGGTGAAAAGGTTAAACCCTAGTGGCCAGCATCTATGTTTATTTTTATCTTCAGAGCTTCGCATCTGTTATCTCTCTCAGCCGAATAGTGCAAATACACCATCTCTCAGCCGAATAGTGCAAATACACCAAAATTACATTCTTATTTTATTGCAATTTTTGTTATGATAGATCTATCTATTACAAAGAGAAAATTATAGACAGGGTTCTTTTCTGTAGCATGAAAAATAAAGAAAGGGCAGGGCGGACCTTAAAACGCAGTATAATAAAAGCTCCGCCTTCTGTATTTCAGATATCGTACTATTACAAAGCGAAAACTTTGAACAGGTTTATTTTTCGTAGCATAAAAACTAGAGAAAGAGGCAGGACGGACCTTAAAACGCAGTAAAATAAAAGGTCCGCCCTCTGTTTTTCAGATATTTTACCATTAGAAAGCAAACATTTTGGACAGGGTATATTTCCGTAAAATAAAAACTAGTCAAAATGGCAGGGCGGACCTTAAAACGCAGTATAATAAAAGGTCCGCCCTCTATATTTTAGATATGTTACTATAGCAAGGCGAAAATTTTGAACAGGGTTTATTTTCGTAGCATAAAAACTAGAGAAAGAAGCAGGGCGGACCTTAAAACGCATTATAATAAAAGGTCCGCCCTCTACTTTTTAGATATCTTACTATTACAAGGCGAAGGAACAGTTGCTACCTATTTTTTATCGACTTCGGTCAGTCGCGGCCGAGATTCGAACTCACGGCCTTCCGATCACTGAGCGAGCGCTCTACCGACTGAGCTACCGTGACGGCCAGACACGAAAAAGAAAATGACAACACTTCATAATATTCAATATCATTATTTTTTTCTTTAATAATTTGTAATCGTAATGAATCCGTTACTTTGTTTTCGGCCCTTGGGCTGATATGGTACCACTCGGACTGATCAATATGACATATGATTTGGATTTAATATGTAATATTCTCTATATAAAATTGTCAATGAAATGATTTCACCGAAAGCTCTTTATGTGCTATGCCTTTGATGGCGATTGATTGACTGATTGGATGTATGTTGTTTTACGTCCCATTCGAGAATTTTTCACTCATATAGAGACGTCACCATATACCGGTGAAGGGCTTCAAATTTTGACCTTTACTCGGCACTCATGGCCATTGAGCAGTGAGGGTTCTTTATCGTGCCAACGCCTGTCGTGACACGGGGCCTCGGTTTTTAAGGTCTTATCCGAAGGACCTGCAACTTTCACCCCAAAGTGCCGAGCGCCTGGCGAAGGAACAGTTGCTACCTTTTTTTTTATCGACTTAGGTCTATCGCGGCCGAAATTCGAACTCACGACCTCCCGATCACGGAGCGAGCGCTCTACCGACTGAGCTACCGTGAACGGTGCAATTCATTGAAGCTTTGTATCAAAGCAATGTTTTTGTTTGAATTCCCGCCTTTTATTGGAATAAAAATTAAATTAATAGAAGTATCAGAATGAATTATGCTTGTATGCAAAAATAAATTCCATATACCAAACGGCTTTAAGGGATATGTATATAAACACTCATCAGGAGAGAGTTATTTTCCTTATACTAATTTTTCTTTTGCATTTTTGCTTATATTATCCTTGTGCTATTTATAGGACATGCGGCAAAAGCAATTTGTACAAGGCCTGCCTCTCCAACCACTCTGACTTTTGCAGAGGACCTTCCTATAGGAACACAATTGTACCAGTATGCGGGTTATGACAGTGACGGGGATAATGTTTATTTCTACACACTTGGCGGTGGCGGTGATCCTTTCGCTTTATCAAGAGGAAGTCTTATATTGGATTCTGCCCTGGATTTCGAAAATCCTACAGCCTATTTCGTGAACTATGTTTGGTACAATTACAATGTATTACATTCATATTCAAAGAGAATCACGTTTCTGCCCCCATAAATAAATATTTTTTTTATTTTATTTTATTTTTTTTTTTTATTAAATACATGTATATATTCATTTTTATAAATATTGTTTAATATACTAATACACAGACAGTTAATAAATATTCATGTCAGTTTTTAAGTTCGTATTAATATTATTTAGTGTATATACCCTGTTTATTAGCGTTATGACTTTACAACATAAACTGAGTATTTATTGAATGCTTCTGATCCAGGGTGCGAGATAGGTTCACTAGCATCTACTCTGGTAATCCATGTGAAGCACTGACTATCAATGTACTTCCTGTTAATGAATTTGACCCGGTCCTCACCCCCACGGCTCAGACTGTCACCATTCCAGAAGGTTCTCCTCAGGGTAAGTTTTCCTGTAAACAAATTAAAATCGGGAATCCTGTAAACAAATTAAAATCGGGAAATTTATATATAACTTTTTTCATGAGTGAAGTTACAGCCACATCATATTATAATTAGAACAACGGTTTGCAATAATTAAATAAAAGAGTCTTGTTTGACTGTTTAGGTTTTCATTATATTAGTATAATGTGTAAAAATGCAATGATATAATAAAGTAAGTTCAACGTCTTGGATAAAAAAGTAGGAAGTGACTTAAATTTGTTCATTGTATTAACATACATGTTAAAAACAGCATAGGCTAATTATTAAAATTACTAAGACCTTATTAATATATACACTGTATTTAACGCAGTAACAATGATATTAACTTTTTAGATTTGTACGTGGCTGGGTTTGTGTGCAGCGATCAGGACAAAGAGCCGCCAGGGAATCCCGACGGTTGCTCTATAATGTCTATTGTATCTGGAGATGATGCATTGCAGAAGTTTAAAATGGTTGCTAGCACAGGTAATGGTACAATCTTGACAACGAACAACGTCATTGATTACGACACTGGTGACGTCACGTACATACTCCTTGTGATTGGTGTTGACAGCTCAACTCGAGACGCTCGTAGAACAGGAACTATGACGGTTACAGTCAACATCCTACCTGTTAACGAGTTCACCCCGTCCATTCAGGATCAACCAATAACAAAAAGTGTGAGAGAGATTATGATTTATGCCATAAATATAATGTTTTTGGTTAAGGTGTCTACTAGCCTAGAGGTTAACAAGTTTCTTTGATTGTGTCCTTTTTTTGCGTATTCTAAACTTTGTGCAGTATAAGCTATTCGTACAGTCAAATTTGCGGCATTTATTTAGGTTAACTACGCTGTGATAAAGTAACTGTTGGAAGTAATTTTACCAACATAATTTGTCTTTCCACCTTTAGTAAGCGTGCTAAACTAGATAAGAGAGTCTTGTTTGGCTGTCTAGGTTATCAATATGTTAGTAGAATGTGTAAAATGCATTGATATTATGACGTAAGTTTGTTTGTTTATTGTTTAACGTACCTCTCGAGATTTTTTCACTCATATGGAGACGCCACCACTTGCCGATGGAGAGCTACAAATTTTGACCTTTACTCTGCACTCAGAGCCATTGAGCAGTGAGAGATCTTTTTTGTGCCAGCACCTACTGCGACACGGGACCTCGGTTTATACGGTCTCATCCGAACGACCGGTCTCCTTGTCCCATAGTGGGATTCGAACCCGCGACGTAAGCATCAACTCCTTACTCCGCGACTCTAGAGCGAACGCCTTAACCACTGCGCCACGCGGGCGACTATTATGACGTAAGTTCAACGACTTGGGAACAGTAGTAAGTTACTACGAATATAATGACTATATACTTCATAATATATAACGGAAAATGCTAGAGAAACCAGAAAATATATCAGAAAGGCGTGCATTTGTATATAAATAATAAAGACACGTTGTTTGAGTCGTAGATCTAGAGACTTTGAAACGATGCACAGTCTGTGAGAAAACAGATTTTTATTATAAAGCTGGTCAAAAGACTTAGTAGCGTCATGGAAAGTGATATTTGGCTTCATTGTTGTGGAATTTGTATAAGCAGAGTTACGCAGGAAAAAAAAAATGAAAACACTGACAAACTAACTTATGCTACTCGAACAATTGTTAGCAACTTATGTGTCAAGTAAATTGGAGACCTTTTTAATGAGTTAATAAGGCGCTATGAACCGTGTGAGTAATGACGCGGGATCGAGCGTAATTGTGAGTAACTTTCATAGCATTGTTTTTGACGTTGCAATGTAGCTAAGAGTGCCTCGTGGTGACAAACACGTTGAATTTAAAATAAAATAACATGAGTTCCATTTAGTCAAATGGAATGAAACTTCAAACAACGACAAAATAAATGTTTTTGCACTTAAAATAAAAATAATATCATGAAAAGCGATATTTTCTGCTTATTTTTTGAATGACACTCGTAATTAAGCTTTGAGGAAGCTCTAAAAACTGCACACTAAGAGTTTTCTTTGTAAGTTTTTGTTCAGTTAGAATGATCTGCCCTTAGAAGTAAGAAGGAAAAAATGGCTATTTTCAGTTAATTACACAATTTGTAATGGATTAAATTAATCTTGGCATTGTATTAGACCAAGAATAAGTAATAGGATATATTATTTCCATTAATTTTCCAAGTATGAGTCAAAACGGGGATTTCTGTTCACTTATAGCATATGTCTTTGAACATTTTTCCTGTAGAAATAAGGTAGGCACCCTATGTTGAAAATGATCTAAATAATCTCAATATGCACACCTTTATATGATACGTTTTTTCCCCAAGTCCCAAAAACATGTTTTGTTAGCACTTGTTTAGAGCTCCCTTAACTGACATTTCACTTTCGTACCACTGGTTTAACTCGTCGTTAATTTTAACGTCGAGTTAACACGAAATTATCAGCTGGTTATAACTAACGTTCGTGTAACCGAATCCTTAGTTCTACACAAGTGCACGGTTCTACATCCAATTTATAAAACATACTCAGCTCGAGGGAAGAAAAATAGTCAATTATTATTATTATTATTATTATTATTTTTTTTTTTTTTGGACTAAACCTTGCATTTGTGTCATGTCTATGAAATGTGAAGATATCAGTTAGAATTCAAGAATTCAAGAAGATAACAGTTAGAATTCTAAAAGTCATAAAACAACAAAACGATTTAAAAGACTGCTTTTAAGATATCAATAAATCCTTTTAGAGCTTATATGTAAAAAGGTTCTTTGCTATTGCAGATTCCGGAGAATACACGTGTTGGCACAGAGATCTTATCAGTGAATGCGATAGACAGTGACGCAGGACCTCATGGCGAACTTACGTACAAAATAATAGGTTAATCATTTACTAGTTGTCATTTACAGACATTTTTGAACCATTGTTTTCATGTTTTATCTTTAAAAACATTGATGGTAAAGAGGAAAGTAATAAAAGTAACACCGGGGTATAATTATATTTTAGCTGCTATAATTATTTCAGCGAATAGGTAGACTAAAAAAAATAAAAATAACCAAAAAAAAAAAAAAAAGAAAAAAAGAACAACAGCAACAACAAAAAAAAAAGCACAAAAAAAAACAAACAAACAAACAAACAATAAATAAATAAAAAAAACAAAAACAAAAAACAAACAAACAAACAAACAAATTTCGACATACAACACATTTCAAGTGAATATGTTTTTTTCTAATCTTTTGCAGAAAGTAAAATATTTTATGAATGTAAAAATATGCATCTGGCATATATGTGTCGATCCTAAATTTGTTATGTTCTACAAATAGATGGAAACACCGAAAACAAGTTTTTGATCAGCAAAACCACTGGGAAGATTTATTTGAGAAATTCTGTAGACTTTGAATCTGCAAGCAAGGCCTACTCTTTCACTATAGAAGTTAGTGATGGCGGCGGTTTATCTTCCACAGCTGTTGTTGACGTCACAATTACTGATGTCAATGACAACAAACCAGAGTGCACGCCCAAGGAATCCAACATAACCATTCGTGAGGACCAAGCCATTGGGACAACGGTAAATAATTAGAGAAAGCTAAGATAATATTGAGAACACAGATCACATTTCCATTACCATGCAATGTCATCTTATAAAATATATACATCTTTTTATATATTTAACCATGTGTACATGTATAATTTCAGCAGAACAAGAATGATTTTTGTTTGAATAAAATATTATTAAAATTTCCCTCTGATTTTTATGGAGCCTATGGAAAAAAGTTTACGCATTTCAATATGTTCGGCAGATATACTTAACAAGATGTGATGAGAATAAAAGACAAAAGAAAAAAATAATAAAGAAAAGACAAAAGAAAAAAATGAAACTAAATCTACAAAAACAAAGCAAACAAAACAAAGCAAGAAAACCCCACAATCCAAATTAAAGAAAAAGAAAATGTATAAAACAACGTTTTCCAAATTAAAAAAGAAAATATATAAAACAACGTTTTCCCAATTAAAAAAAGAAAATGCATAAAACAACGTTTTCAAGAATTTCATTTTTATAAATTTGGATGACAGTTAAGGGTTTATCTTGTGGACGAAATATGGAAACCTAGACTTGGCGTATTCTGATACATTGTAACTGATGTTATGTTAATATTTTACTATATATAAAAATTATACATTACAATTGTGAGTATTATAATTTGAAGAACTGACGCAAAGGACAGGGTGATGCAGAATAAGTAAATTTTTAAAATATTGCCTTTAAAATAAACCTTTTATAAATGAAGGCGAGATTGTAAGTTCTTCCTTGTGTAGGCTTTTATAATCATTATGAGTTTAAGCGTGTTGATTTTCAGGGCGAGTCCGTTATTTGTAAGACTTGGACATGAAATATTGTGTATCTCATTGATCACAACTCTGCCATCATAAGTTATACTTAAGTGATAAAAATGTTTTAATATATTTAAAAACAGTTACATTTCATGAATATTTTTATCAATGTATTTTGAAAAAAAAAAAAAAAACTATGTAGAGTTTTAAAAAAAACATCTTAAAAAATAGTGACTTAATCATAACTATTTCTAATAATTTACGCTAACCTTACAGAATGTCAAATTTTTTATGCAGTCTTTTACACGAAAAGAGAATTTTTTACTTTCATTCCTCTTATCTTCACCTTTTTAATTTCTTTCTTTATGTCCACATGAAGCTCAAACTTCTGTAGTATTTTCCCTTGAAAACTTTACATAAAGATTAAAATTTTGAGTAAATGAAAAGAAATGACTCATTCTGGTGAATGTGCAATATTTCCTCTTTTCTTTGAAGGTTCTAACGATAACCTGCACGGACAGGGATGCAGGGACAATGTTGACCTATCAGATGTTATCTGGTGACCACAGCCATTTCCAAATTTCATCTGCAGGTGAACTTAAAGTTTCACAAGGTACATGTATGCCAATAAATCTTTTGTTATTCATATAAAACCATTCAACAATAAAATGTTTTATTTATAAAAAAGATAAATAAAACTATTCCAAAATTCTTCAATTCGTACGTTAGACATTACGTTTTCAAAATTTGAAACATTTAAGTTAAGATTCTGAGGTATTTAAAACAGATTAATCCTGACGTCGATCGACTTTTTCTTTATATTTGACTTTTTTTTGCAGATCTTGGATATGACGATGGCATTACAGTGTACTACATGATGTTAGAAATTTCTGATGGTATTCATTACACGAAAGTGTGGGTCTTGGTCCAGCTTACATCAGTTAACGATTATGTCCCTACTTTTACAAACAGAGCCATTATTGTAAATGAAAAAGCTGTCGTTGGTGATGAGATAATCGAATTCATAGCAGAAGATGCAGATGCCCCTCCTCATGGTGTGACGTCATATCAAATATTAAATGGTAAGTCACATAAATGAAAAAGAAAAGATAATATATTTTCATAACATTTGGATCAAAGTTCTCTGTATCATTAATGAAACATTAGTGAATTCATTAAAGTAACACAATAAAAGGAATAAAATGAAGCCTTCTGATTTCAGTGAAAAATGGAAACATAGGAACCTTTTACATCGGGAAAGCATCAGGAAAAATATTCTTGGCACAGGGACTGGACTTTGAGAGTGTTCCACAATATGAAATCGTCGTCATGGCCACAGATGGTGGTGGGAAGACGGTACGTTAATAAACAGAAGGGGTTTTGCACTTAAACATGTGCAATATTTCATAACGAATGTCCAAAGCATTTGTTTATAAGCGCTACATTAACTTGTGCCTTAAAAGAAACAGTATCATAATTTTTCTCTGATGAGGATTCATGGGGATTTCTTTTCTAAAGCATAAGTAGGTTTCTGGGTACAGTACATAGAAAATGAAAGATATTTTTGTGGACAAAAATATCATGAAAGCAATTCCTGACTATTGTTTATGTTTAAATAAAATTTTGCTTTCAATCACAATATAAAATTATATTCCAATGCACAAAATACAACTTGAAGCAAAATTTAATTTGACAGTTGAAGACAAATCATACAATTAAATAGCATAAACCCATAAAAAAGTTGTATCTTTACAAAAGGGCACAGGAACAGTTACAGTCAATGTTAATAACGAAAATGACAACGCTCCCACTTGTACAACACCAGCAGAGAGCCTCACGGTGTCGGAAAACTCTGGTAACTTATTCTCATGACACATTTTAGGCATGACACTGAATGTTTAACTCTGCGTGTAAATCGATCCAAGTATAAATATACCTAATCCTGAGTTTCCTTTTTTAAAAAAAAAAAATGAAAAGATATTTTTTAAATCGAGGAATATTGAAAATGCAATGGCTCAATTAAATTTTAAAGAGAGTAAGAGAATGATGTTAAGATTGTTTGTATCTCACAGTTCCAGGTGACGTGATTGTGGCAGATTTTGGATGTTCAGATGAAGATAATGATCTTTTGATTTACACTTTGATCCAAGACCCAGCAGATAATGGGTTTGAAATTGTATCAAATCGACTCACAGTAAAAGGCATGTTAAACTTTGAACTTGTAAAGGTTGAAGATTTATGTCGCAGATATTTGTTTTAGTATTTGGATTACTTTGACTAAGATCTCAAGTAGACACATTGATGCCAAGGCAACTGGAGAATGCCATAAAGAAAAGCTTTGTTCGTGCAAAGGACAAGGTATGGTAACGGCCGAATTTGGCCCCTTGTTTGATGTAAAAATCAGAACACAGTTAAAATTGCGATAGTTTGTAGCTAAGAACTTAAAATAATGCTCGTTTTAAAACCAGCAATAATTTGGATTCAAAGCTTACACAGAGGCCACACGAGGAAGCAGAAGTAGAACATTTTCCCGAATTTTCTCAATTCTGGTGGAATTTTGTCAAATTCGAGGTACTTTTCACTTCGGGAAACATAGAGCACAAACTTGCCTATCTGAGACTTTTATACACAAGATGCATCTGATACTAGTGTATGAGTATAAGAAATAAACAACGTTATTCGGTGAACATGGCGTTATGAATAGCAATTGCTCTGCTGGCATATTCCATGATGCGCGCTAGCAGATGCCAGCAGAGCTATTGCTATTCATAATGCCATGTTCACTGAATAGTCTTTTTTATTACTTATATTTGCATTTTGTGATGTTGTCAAGAATATCGGAGGAAATCCTGGCTTACATAAGGGTACGGCTGCTTGTCTCCAGTAAAGAAAAAAAAAACGAGTAGACCTGATTAATCAACACTTTCTCAATAAATCAATAATATATATGGTATTTGCTTCTCAACCACAGTTATCTGGATACACACCGCGTCGTCTTCAAATTCTCGTAATTCTTTTGTTTTGATGCAGTTGTGACGTCATCGAAACCCTCTGATGAAAATTAACAATTTAACAGTATAATGAAAATAGAGAATGCTTTTATATTGATTTTAACTTAAGAATGTTTTTACTATGTTTTTTAAGTTCTTAAAATTCATTTTTTGAGCTGAAATCATTCTTAAAATAGATGTATTACAGTTATTTCGTTTCATTTGAACGTGAAACACCCTAGCGTGAAGAACTATCGTTTTTTTGCAAAAATATGCGTAAATATGAACAGAAAAAATAAAGTTATAGCAGTTCTTTTTAATTTGTGAAAATTTTTATTATACAATTAAATACCTTGACTGAAATTTATTTTTTAAAGATATAAATCAGCAATTTTCATCATTTTGAATTTCTTCTATAGTCCTATGAACGCAACTGCTGAGTGCAGGTTCATAGTGGGAGGAAGCAGAGAGAATGCAAATATGTAAATTTGGTAGATAGGCAAGCTTGTGCTCTATGTTTTCTGAAGCAAAATGTGCTGCAAAATCGATGAAAATTTGCATTAAAATGAGAAAATTCGGAAGTTGACATATTTTGTGACCTTCCTGTGACCTCCGTGTATCCCATAATTTAGAACCAACACTCATTTTGTGGCAGGGGTGACAACAGGTTTTTTATTGATAAACTGTTGCATCATTCTAAAAGACCCCCAAAACCAGGGGGCCAAAAAGGGGTCTTAGTCTATCTTGTCCTTTATCCGGTTTAACAAAATTGCACACAAACGTTTCTCGTAAAACATCACAGTTCATCCTATACAGGCACGTTTCTGAACTTTTAAGATATGGCGTCATAATGGAATAATATGGTCACTCTTATTTCATATCACATGTAAAGTGTTATAAAGTTATTATAAAATTCACGTGTCTTAACTGTAATTTTAAGCCTTAGAGTGTGTAATTACATATATTGTTGAATATTAAACGTCACTTTTTAAATTCCTCTGGATTGAAAAATGTGTAGGTAAGTTAAAATTATCATGAAATATTTCGTATACTAGTAATATTTTGGCTCGTCCCAAGCACTTTCGGGTACAATAGGATATACTAAGTTCATTTCTGTAGCATAACAGTTAATTAATTAACCAAAATAATTCCTCCCAGTAAAGGAGGGTTTATAGAAAAACAAATACTATCGTTGTTTGTCTACATTTTGGGTAGAAAAAAGTTATATATTTAGAGCATGGAGCATTGATGAGGAAATAAACATACATTTTTCTTTTTTACTACAGGTACCCTTGACTATGAAACAACTACGTTCTACAGCATAATTGTAACTGTATCGGATGGATCGTTATTCACACAGATGAAACTGGCAATAAACATTTTAAATGAAAATGAAGCCGCTCCCCAATTTTTTAACAAAGGTCTCATCTCTCTCTCTCTCTCTCTCTCTCTCTCTCTCTTTCTCTCTCTCTCTCTCTCTCTCTCTCTCTCTCTCTCTCTCTCTCTCTCTCTCTCTCTGTGATACGCAATCAATTGTAGGGATCGAGTTCGAGGTATGCCAAATATAATCTGATTATGATACTATATTGATTTCTGTTTCCTAGTGATGTCCGGCACAGTTAGTGAAGATGATGTTGTCGGAAAGTCCATTTCTACAGCTTTTGCAGTGGATCCTGATAACGATGATGTAGTCTATTCATTTGTTGGTATATATCCAAACTTTATGATTGATCCAAGAAAAGGGAAGATTACACTTCGACGTTCTGTAGACAGAGAGAGACAACCTACTATTGTTCTGTACGTTCTGGCTTCCGATGGCGAATTGAGTTCCACGGCAACCGTATCAGTGACAGTTCTGGACGTGAACGAACCGCCAAAATTCGGCAGTACTAATTATCAGTACGTAACTGTTAAAAAAAATGAAGATGTTACATAAATTGCAACATATATATATTACTTACTTTTATTTATCTGTGGATAAACATTGATTTCTTTCGTTTTATTGTCTTTTAGCTTTTCCATAGCAGAAAATACTTCGAGTGGCGGTACTGTAGGAACAGTCTCAGCTGCAGATGCTGATGTAGGAGCGACAAATGGGCAAGTCAGATACAAAATTCTTTCTGGAAATGATGAATCCTACTTCCAAGTAGAAAGCACTAGTGGAGTTGTTACTATTGCCTCTCCAACAGATTATGAAAAATTTAAAACAGCGTTGTTGGTGATTGAAGCATCGGACTTTGGATCACCATCCTTATCCGGTATATGTACAGTCATTATTCAAATTCTGGACAGAAATGACAATACACCAGAGTTTTTAAGCTCTACTTTACAAGAAAAAGTATCTGAAGATACTCCTTTGGGACAGCGGATTACTCAAGTGTTTGCTTTTGATAAAGATTCTTCTGCAAACGGAAACAACAAAGTCAGTTACCAGTCTGCCTCCGTTGTGCCTTTCCAGGTGGATTCAATGTCAGGAGTGGTGACTCTTATGGGAAATTTAGACAGGGAAACAATCTCAAGGTAATTTACATGTACATGTGTTTAAGTTAAACGATTGGGTATCTTAAACGGGTTTTCAAGGTATTCACCCCTTCAACCCTTCAAAGTTTAATTAAAAATAGCACAATAAACTTGCTTTTTATAGGTTCCAAATGGTTATCCTTGCCACTGATGATGGGGCACCTCGTAGGACGGGAACATTGACGCTAGAAATTATTGTTACTGATGTCAACGACAACGCTCCTGCAATAACAGGAAGCTACCTTACTACGGTGTCAGAGAATGTACCAGAAAACTTCGTTATTTTTAATATCAATGGTTCTGATGTCGATGGAGATTCAATTGGAACACTTAAATATGAACTTGCTTCTTCCGAAATGAAGACGATCTTTAAGATAGAACCGAATACAGGTGTATTACAAGTTGCTTCTCCATTGGACCGAGAATCAGTTGATAGATATGATGTAATTATAAAGGTTTCTGACAACGGATTCCCTACTAGGTCGACATCTGTTACTGCTACCATTAATATCGGAGACGTGAATGATAATACTCCTACTTTCTCAAAGACATTTTACGAATTTCTTGTGCAAGAGCACGCTGTTTTTAACACTTTCCTCGGAACAATCACAGCCACTGATGATGACATTGGATCAAACTCCGAGTTGACATATCAAATAGCAACGTATTGGAAGGGGTCGATAGGAAAGTTTAGAATAAATGAAATTACCGGGGACATTTACACCACAGGAGTGTTAGATCGTGAAATTGAAGATGAATATCGTATACTCTTTAGAGTCGAAGATGGTGGAACACCTTCTCTGTCTTCGGATGTCACGGTTAAAATTCAAATTTCAGATATCAACGACAATGCACCAGTATTTCAGCGTCCAGAATATTCTACAGCCATTTTCGAAAATCTAGCTACCGGAAGTAAAGTTCTCCAGACGGGAGCGTTCGACAAAGACATGGGAGACAACGCTGCCATCAGATACGAGCTTGACATTTCAACACAAGATGGCTTAAGAGCTGATTACTATTTTGGTGTGTATGGAGAAACAGGTGGTATATATTTGAAAAAAAGAGTGGACAGGGAAACATATGAAAAATTCATTCTGACTGTTGTAGCAAGAGACAGCGGTAAACCTTCTTTGTCGACTAAGGTAAATATTAGCATACAAATCGAAGACGTGAACGACAATGAACCAACATTTTCTCCTTTGTTCTACAATACAGAGGCATCCAATATCAATCTCTGTGATGCAATCATCACTCACATCACAGCTTCAGATTCTGACTTGGGACGCAATGCTGCACTGAGTTTTGGACTTGATCCAAAAGACACATCACCTTTTTCTGTCTCTCAGCTTGGTAAGTGTCCTCAAAGATTTCTTTGAATATTATATTGATGTAAATAGTATAAAAAAAAAACTAAAACTGATTCAGTATGAAGGGATCAAAATTATATTTTTGATATTAGGCAAATAATATTTTACTGTGTCCGAATTTTCAGGAGTAGTAAACAGAAAGGCAGATTTGGTCCAGTCAAAATATATTATCCACGTTATGGCACACGACAATGGAGATCCAGTTCTGATGTCATCAGAACAAGCCACTATTCGGGTTGACAGGTTTGATCCAGACGATGTCGTGGTCACGTTCTATTTCGATTTGGCTTTTTCATCATTTCTTCAAAAAGAAACGAATTTCCTTCTTCAATTAGAGGAATCTCTGCGTTTCAAATATCCCACGGCATACGTCAGAAGATGGTGTATAGAGGAAAAAGCATCGTAGGTTCAACTCAAAATTATCTTCATACTTTTAGTGTTATTGAAATTGAATGATATCAGTGTAAGGTTTCACAATTTCTTAAATCAAAGTCCCTTATAACAAAAGTATGTCATGCAATTCCTGATTGTCAACAGAGAATCATAATATCCCATTTTCTAGGATTCAAAGATTTCCCTCACACTAATTAAAAAAATCTTATCTTATTTTTATAATGTATCTTTTATATTGATTCAAATATTTGTATGGCATAGTTTTTCAACAAAGGGTAGATACTGATCTCCTTTTTAAAGTAGACTTTTTTACTATGGCATTTTCTAGTTGTAAAACTAACTAAACCTAGGAACTACTGTGTATATGTTGAATGTCATCGTTTTTCAAATACATGTACAAGTTTAAGCATCGATATATATACAATATCCTTGGTCAGGGTAACATAATTAAACAGTGTGCAAAATTTAAGTTATTGTTGGAGGTGCACAATTGTGTATTGCTACTTTTATAAATGCGGCAATGATTAAACACTTATTTGTTCAAGACATTTCTATGCTTATTCTTCAAGAATTTGAAATACATTGAAGCCTTGTCATATGTGTTATACTTTTAAATCTTCTCATTCAGATTTCTCATGGTTCATGTGTATGCTGTAAAGACGGAGATAACAAATGATATAAACAATTTGTATAAGGATAAAGTATTTCTAACAAACGGCGAGTTTCTTAACGTACTTCAGCTTGATTCTGATGATAGACCAACACTAGACGTGAACGGTATAGTATTTTTCTTTTAGGTTTTCATATTGTAAATTTTTATGTAGGTGATATCTCTCGTGTTAATTTTTTTATTTTTTAAAGTTATGGATCGCATTATACTTTCAGGCAAAACTTGGAATGAATTTTCAATTCAGAAAGTAGTCCCTTTTGGAAATAGAATTGTATATCCTGGACCAGTTATCTCCCGTTTGGCAGAGAAGGACGATGATATTGCCGTTCCTCTCGGAGTGTCAATATCTCTTCTGGCTGTTGTCATTATTGCCATCGCCATATTAATTTATTTTGCTTGGAGAAGGAGATGGTGTAGAAAGAAAAAGTAAGATCAACATCCATCCAAAGCTTAATCATTAAGTAGTTATTCTAACCCGTTAATCAATGTCGAGGGAGCTTAAATATATATCATTTGGACATAGATAGAATATACTTATAAAGCATCAAAATTATCTTTCCCAATTCGTTTAGTTTTTCTTCTTCGTTACGGATAGTTTTGGACTGTTTTTTACATATAGCAATCCTTTCTACAAGCATTTGCGATTTTTACATGTTATTTCTATGTGATGAAAAATCCTATTTGAATATGTATTTTGATGTGCCTTACGGAAAACGAAAAACAAAATCACAACATGTCAGATCTCATTTTAACAGAGAGATTGATGAACCAAAGAAGGCCAGAGTTGTTGTAACAGAGATAAAGAGAAAGGAAACGGATATACCACTATTTGAAAAGAGAGAACAGTCCATGGTATCAAATTCAGCTGTATCGATGGTATTTCCAACTCAATTAAAATCCAGTGAAGGACAAAGCAACGATCCTATTTTAGACTGCGAGCAACAAACAAACAAACAAGATTTAGAAAGCAGTGAGGAAACTTAAATTATTTCATTTATTTGGTTTACAAATATGCGCAAAACAACATTTGTTTAATAAACACTGACTAAGATTTCTGAGTTTTTTTGTTCCTAGAATTTTAATTTAATTTTAGGTTCTTCGTCACCGGGTGTAACTACCAAAGTAATTCAGGGGCCATATATAAAATTTCCGATTTCGGAGCGCCCTGTTTTCCAGACGACCAATCTCACGAGATTCTCTCCTGCTCTTTCAAGAAGCAAAAATCAGAGTGCAACAGTAAGTCCAGTTCCAACCTTACACTCGGCAAACAGAACTCAAGACAATGTGCCAACTTGGCGCGGAATTGATATCGGTAAGTTAAATGTTTTATCTTGGAGAAATATCTAAAGGAAGCAAAATATTTTATTCTCGTATTACATTGTTGATGACAATACTTAATACTACTGTGCACCCGGGTATCAAGACCATCATATGTTTTTGAGCTCATTTCATGTAAAAAGACAAAACTTGTGCATTTTTTTGTTGTCTTAAAATACTTTGACAGGATGTACCGACTTGGAACACCGGAGAACATGTTGTAAACTAAAAAAAAATGTCTTCTTCAATGCTTAGAGATTTTTTTTGAATTTAAATTAATAAATGTCATGGTTAACGAAATTATACTAACTGAAAGATATTCCAGTATTCTTAAACTAGTGAGTTTGTACATCAATGAAAACTTTTAACCCCCTCATGGGAATGCGTGATTAGACATTTAATGTTATCAAAGGAAAAGTTTTCTAAATCTTACAAACAACATCTGCCAGTACAAGTATTTCAGCATCTACTTTCACAATTGCAAATCGAGACGGCAAATGCACCCTTTTTTAATCTAGGTAAAGAGGTACGTGGCTAATGGCTATAGCTTATTCGTAGTTTGACCGTTTCGCAGAAAATCCTGATTTCATTGATGAACCAATTCATGAGTGATACCACCCTCTATGATTCTGCAACTTATCTTGACATTTGAAATCGATTTTAAAACCCAAAGGATAGCGTCCACTCCGAGGACAATCTAAATGTACCAAATTCCTGATAAAGTACATGTATCCATTAAGATCTGTAAAGATCATACATCTTTACGTATTTCGATCCTACATTGAAATTTTCAGCAACTTCGAAAAGTGATAATCCAGTTTGCTTAAAGACATTTTTATTCATTCATAAATTATCGCTTTGAAAAACAGGAGGGCTAAAAACATGCTACACCAGCTCGAATCGTCAAATTGTCTTTCTTTCGTTAGCAAATTCGCGTCAAAGACTCATGTAAAAATGCAGTGTCAAACAGATATAGAAACATCCTTTTTGCCAGATACCAATACAATATATTTACAAAATTAAGCTATTGTTTTTTGTAAAGGAGGTTATATATATATATATATATATATATATATATATATATATATATATATATATATATATATATATATATATATATATATATATTGTTCATTCAACATTACAGTAACAGGATGGATGTATGAAGAAAATCCAAAAACTAAAGTAAGAAACTGGATACGTACACCGAGTGGAGATAATAAATCGGCTTTCCTTGGAGATTGATACCATTGCTCGAAGCTGTGAAATAATCATGAAGGACTTTTAAGTACATAGTTACTAATATTTTTGACTGAATATTGTAGAACTATGTATTGCAACTGTAACGATCTGATATCTTTCAGGAATAAATTAAAACTAGTTTTCAGCTTTTTGCTTTAAGCTTGTTGGTTCAATAAAATCAAATAATATAGTTGAAATATATAGCTGTTTTAAATCTAAATCTGTCATTATATATATATATATATATATATATATATATATATATATATATATATATATATATATATATATATATATATATATATATATATATATATATATTTACATTAATTTTACAAATGTTTTCTTTTAACATTATCCAAGCAAATCGCTTTTAATTCTGTGAAAAAAAAAAAAAAAAAACAGGTTCGTCACGTGTCCTTAAATTCATTATTTAATCATAAACGATTGGCGTTATTTCACAGAGACGTCATAAGTGGTAGAGGTGTTCAACACATTCAGTTTATACCGTTCAGGTTTGAAAAATCATTTGATGGGTTTAAAACTTTAGTACATAATTTACCTTATAAATCAGTCTCAAATGTAAATATAGGTAATAAGATATCATTTTTAAACTTTTATCGGGATTTAAATACGGGTTGGCCTGTGGGATTTGATCACATGACCACCCGTATTTACATTCCGATAAAAGTTTAAAAATGATACCTTATTTCTTTATATATATATATATATATATATATATATATATATATATATATATATATATATATATATATAAATTGGAAAAGTTACATGATTTACACAAAACTGAAATGTCGAATTTTTATTCTATTATTTATTTTTCTTTTGAAAATAAAAATAAGCCATTTGTTTTACAAAGGGGTAGATCTCGAGAGCCTTCCCCTTCGGAGAATATATAAGAGAAAATATTTGGCATTTTCCTATAAACCTACGCAGGTTCAATACCTTTATGAGATGACACGGTTATTTTCTTTTCTCTTTCTTTTTTAATCTACGTTCAATAACACACACACACACACACACACATACGTGTATGACGTGCCGACTGAACACCTTAACTTCCCACATGCAAATGGACACTTCTTGTAAAAGGGAGTTAGAGGGAAGAAATGTTATCTGTTTGACTAAAAATAACAACTAAACATAGAATCAGACCTAATATGTATCGAAAAAGGTTTATTTCATTCCTTGATTTTTCACTTACCAAATGAACACTTAACTGATACACAACCAATTGAACACTTTCATTTACACACTATCAACTGAACACTTCTAAAGCACACAGTCAACTGAGCACGTCTGACACACACTGTTATCTAAACACGTATAATACACACAGCCAACTAAGCACATTTAGCACACACACAGTCAACTTATCACCACTGATACACACAATCAACTGAGCACGTCTGACACACACTGTCATCTAAACACATATAATACACACAGTCAACTAAGCACGTTCAACACACACAGCCAACTAATCACTTCTTAAAGACATGCATGGTTAGCTGTGCACCTCCAACACACAGTCAACTAACCACATCTGACACACACAATCAAATAACCATATCTGATACACGCGGTCAACTAATTAAAAATATCTTAAGTATACTATTAACAATACCATCTCCAGAGTCGCCCGGCGCAGTGGTTAGAGCGTCTGCTCTATAGTCGCGAAGTAAGGAGTTGATCCTTACGTCGCGGGTTCTAATCCCACTGTGGGACGTGGAGACCGGATCTTCGGATGAGACCGTATAAACCGAGGTCCCGTATCGCAGTAGGTGCTGGCACAAAAAGATCCCTCACTGCTCAATGACCGTAAGTGTCAAGTACAGGACAAAATTTGCAGCTCTCCACCGGCAAGTGGTGGCGTCTCCATATGAGTGAAAAAAATCTCGAGAGAGACGTTAAACAACATACAAACAAACAAACCATCTCCAGATAAAACAATTTAACAAGATAGAAATATAACGTCGATCTACCTCGTAAACATAGTCAGGTATACATATTCTTTATGGAAAAGATTTAACACATCCTGGAATTCATGATCACCGATCAACCGAATCGTACAAAAAAGTGCCCACTCATGTATTTTGGTTTCTCATGGTGAGAACACTTACAGTGGAAAACGTTTAATTTTGTCAATTGAAGCACAATGATATCAAAAGAAATGAATCTTTTTTGAGAATTTACTTTGAAAAAGTCCATTAATTAATTTTTTCTGAATTTTAGCACAGCCAAGAAATGTAAATAAACATATTTTGAAATATTTTAAATATACAGATATATTAGGAACATTCTACTTTCCAATTTTTCCGTTTGCCCACCTTTCATCATCGTGCGTTCAACGTCTGTTCACCATGAGCTCATAATGCGCTCATTGTTCACAGTTTTGCGTTCAGCGTTCACCAACCGCTCGCGTTAACTGTTCACAAAGCATTGTTTTGAATATATATTTTATTGAGTACATCAAAAGAATAGGAAACAAGTTCTTATAACTAACTAGTTCTTTTCCTTATATATTACAATATTTCATGGAAATTAAAGGAAAATAATACAATTGATACAAGTGAAAATGCTAATAAATAACATATCAACTAGAGAATCTATATGTTTCGTCAATAAATATATGAACGTTAACAGCAGCAAATATACTGCTATTTATCTGTAAAGGCAAATTAACATCATTAATAATAGATTTATATCAATAGTGACCAATTAAAGCATGAACAAGCGATTGAAAAGATTACTTCTTGCATTAGAACAATTTTTGTATGCAAAAAATAAATGTTACACATCTTCATGTTTTTGAGCATAAAGGACTCTTAATAATTTCCTTTATATGGATCATAGTTTAGTATACAGTAATGTCGTAGCTTAGTATGAATGATATTGGTATCTCGCTTTACCGAAAGAAAAGTAAGATGGTGGATTTTTAATTTTTTGTTATCAAGTTTTTTTCTCGAAATGTATGTTGAGATGGCTTTTCTGACCTCTGTTTTTAATAAATACCATTGTTTTGCAACATTAGGTACGACGGAATTTCTAAATAATTCTAATCTACATCTTGGAATTAAATAATCTGGTTTGTCACGAGTATTGTATATGGATACATTATCACGCTTTTTGGGAACACTATTATGCAAATATTCAGGTACTCTTCCCCTGTGAATTTTGAAATATAGTAGTCATTTTTAAAGTTTCCCAACTATTTTCAGAATAAAGTGCTTCTCTAGACACAAAAATAGGTAGTCCTGTTACAATTCTAGCGGTGGAAAGTTGTACTTTTTCAAGGTTTAGAGTAGCCATCCCGAACAACTGAAGCACATTCAAGCATAGGTCTGATAAATTTAAATACAATTTGGTAAGATTTTCCTATCCATTTTGAACTTCAATTGTTTAGGAGCCATTTTTTTTAAATTAGCACTGCATACCGTTACAACACCAATAAACATAATATCAGACCTAATATGTACAGTTTACTAATACACAACCAGTTGAACACTTTCACATGAACACTTCTAGCGTACACAGTCAACTGAGCACGTCTGACACACACTGTTATCTAAACACGTATAATACACACAGTCAACTGAACACTACTGATACACACGATCAACTAAGCACGTCTGACACACACTGTCTTTTAAACACGTATAATACACACAGTCAACTAAGCACCTTTAGCACACACACAGTCAACTTATCACTGCTGATACACACGATCAACTGAGCACGTCTGACACACACTGTCATCTAAACACATATAATAGATGTATTAGGAAACGTTTTATTTTCCCATTTTTCCGTTAGCCCACTATTCGTTCACCTTGTGTTCAACGTCCGCTCACCATGAGATCATCATGCGCTTAATATTCACAGTTTTGTGTTCAGCGTTTACCATCCGCTCGCGTTAACTGTTCACAAAGCACTGTTTTGAACATATTTTATTGAATATATCACAAGGATAGAAACAAGTTCTTATAACTTACTAGTCCCTCTCCTTATATATTACAATACAGTATGTCATGCAAATTAAGAAAAATAAAACAATTGATATAAGTGAAACTTCCAATATAACTTATTGTTATATTACTTGAATCTTCCAAGTAGGTTCTATTTTGTCGTAACAATTTGATATCGTATTCTTTTTCATATTGTTGACTAAATTTCGGACCTTTCTATATGCGGACCAATCGGAATCTTTTTTAGTTTATAGTGCTTTGTTACGAAGACGGTTTCCAATTCTTATTGTTTCACGTAGCACTGAATCAAACCATGGTTTTTAACGAGGACGAATGGTTACAGTTTGTTCATGTATACATTCATGAACACAGGAAAGGTATTCCAATGTAAAATGTTCAGCTGCAAGGTTTATTGTTTCATTTTCAATGCTACTTTTTGTCCAATCACAATTTTCGATTAATAAGAGAATTTACTTTTTGAAATCTGAATTGTTATAAGCCCACACTTTATGCTTGTACGAACGATTATAATTTATACTGAAAGAAAGCGAAATATAAGTTGCTCTATAGTCACTGATAGAAGCGCCTATTGTTGGAGTGTCTGATTCGCATACTTGAATGTCAACAGATGTAGGAATTGGGTTAAGAAGCGTGCTCGACGTGTGTGAAGTTTTAGTCGGTTCGAATTCAATGATATTGTTAACAAGTTTGTGTGTTGAAACAATTTCACGAATTATGTTCGTTTGTGGAGCATTAAGAAGATCTACATGTACATTCAAGTCACCTACTAATAATATTTGAAGTTCGCCTATTTTGTCAATTGACCATGTGAGTTATGTCCAAAAACTTCTATCCCAGTTTAGAGGACGACATATACACTAGAGGTACTGTGGGAACTGAGCTCACAAAATTATAACACCCCCCCCCCACATCCCTCGCGACCAAACCTCGCATATATAATAGCAAAGTCCTTTTTTAGCTGAGGGAAACCCCAAATATTTGTCAATCAGAATATGAAATAGGAGATGCACAATGGTACAGTGTAATAAAAAAGATTCTGTGAAAGTCTCATAAATTTTATTCAGTGGTATATGAGGAGTTGCAGAAAAGAGATGGGAGCCCCCAACTGATACTGACA